TTCCTCTGTCTCCTCACGCCTTGCACTACCTCAAGTTCGTTATTCTGGCCACCTTGATCAAAATCAACGAAGAGCTTCATTGACCGCCGTCAAACGACTAGCCGGTCTTCAAACTCGACGCCTTACACTCTGCCTCAAGCTCTGGCTGCTTCTGCACCTCTGCCATGGCTGCTGCCTTTGAATGTGATCAACAAAATCAAAGTTTGTTAACTCACACCCAAAGATCTCATCCGTCTGCTTGCCTCTGCTGCTGCCTTTGAATGTGATTGACAAAATCAAAGTTTGTCAACTCACACCCAAAGATCTCCTCCGTCTTCTCTCGGACTCGCCTGGGTTTTCACCCACGATCTCAACCTTGCAGATGGCCATATAAAGAAAAAAAAATGATGATGCGGGGAAGCATCTTTCAAAAGAATAATAAAAAATAAAAAATAAAAAATAAAAAAAAATAAAAAAAAGTAGCAATGATGATGCTGGGAAGCATCTTTGAAAAGAATAATAAAAAAAAAATAACAAATGATGATGTTTCTGGAATCATGTGAAAAAAAAAAGAAAAAAAATATATATATAATAAAAAGAAAGAAAAAAACGATGGTGGTGCTTCTGGCACCATCTGAAATATATATATAAATGAACGGTGGATCAGTGCCACAGAAAGCAAACAAATGAATAAAAAAAATTGATGATGGACAGTGATGTATATGTTTTATCAGTATTTAGCATAATACACTAAATAAAACGAAGCATGTTCATTGATTTTCGAGAAATTACAAGTGCGAAAAAAAAAAAAAAAAAAAAAAAAAAAAAAAAAAAAAGAAGAAATGTATCTAACAAAGAAAGAGGAAGATGGAGCCTTCACAAAGGTTGTTCACGAGAAGCCCCACTACTTGGCCAAACTCCAGGAGCGGGAAGCACCGAAGATAGATCATTCGAGGCCCCAATACTTGGTGGAACGCTTGATGACGCCGGAAAAATGTGCCTCTGGAAGAAAGACGCAAGCCTTTGACGGTCACTTTGAATGCGACCTTGAGATTCTTGCATCTCATCAAGCTTCCTCTTCATGCCCGACGAATAGTTATTTGCAAGCACATGCAAACTTCTATTCTCGTACTTAAGCTGTTTAATCTCCTGCTTAAGATCTTCCACCTCTGCCATCAATGATTCCACTTGACGGGACCGAGCAAGCAGGCGTTGGCCCATGTTGGACACAGAGCCCGCACACTGAACACTAAGAGCGAGGGACTCTTGGACGGCCAACTCATCGGACCGTCCTGACAGCAGCCTACTATCTTTTGGAGTAAGGAGGTTCCTAGCTACTATTGTAGCTGTTGTGGCGTCCTGCATCACGGAGTCTTCACCTGTAAGAGGACCGTTAGAAGATAAGAAAGAAGGGCACCATACATTACCTTGAAGCGGCGCAACCGGATCACTGCTGAGACTCAATTCTAAGCTAAGGTTCGATGGGTTAGCCATTTTTCAAAGGTGTTAAAAGAGATGGGTGGATGGAGTTAAAACTCAAAAGGCCGGGGATGATTTTCAGGAATGAGCAACCTTCAAAGTGTGCATGTTAGAGGTGATCAATACCTCTATAAAAAGGAAGAGGCGCTTGCTCAGAAATCAAAGAGGCGTTCGTTCAGAAATCGAAGGGCCGCTTATTCAAAAGTGAAGAGACATCGCTCTGCAAATCTCAAAAGCTGGATTTTCCGGCGTAAGTTAGGCGACGCTTTCTCGGCTTTCTAGAAAACGCGTTCAACTTTGTCAAAAGATCTCCGACAAAGTTGAAAACACGTGGAGACTGGCGACGCTTTCGCGGCTTTTCAAAGCACGGGTGCCACTTTGTCAAAAGATCACGTGGAGGTCATCATCGCAGCTACACGTCTTTAGCTGACAAGCGCAAAGTTCGGCGACGCTTTCTCTGCTTTTCAGAAAACGCGCGCCATTTTGTCAAAAGAGACGCTCGTGCAGAAATCGAAGAGGCGTCGTTCAGAAATCGAAGAGGCGTCGTTCAGAAATCAAAGAGGCGTATTCAAAGATCAAAGAGTCATCACTATTTCAAAAAGCCGGATTTGCGGGATCAAAACGTTTGTCGACAAGGGTAAAAGAACAGTACCACCACTTGTTATTGGGAAATCCCTATATATGTCGACCTTCATCTTTTATGGCAAGGCAAACCTGCAAACAAGAAAAAAAATGCCCAACTCTTCCTCACCTCCGAGAGTACACTCCCAGCAAAACATCTCAAAATACTCAATTTTTTCCTCTTCCCCGAAGATGATACCAGATGCCTGGAGTACAGATGACCCAGGAGGAAACGGTAGATGGAAGCATGTGCTGATTCATTCACCGCTTCTTCAAAAGCAAAAGTATCTCATATCATCAAGGGCGAAAGCAAAGGTATCTCATATCATGCTTTTTCCCTGTCCTTTTCTTTGTCCTTGCTCTTACATGCAGGAGAAGGGGAAATAGAGTTATCAGTCGGAACCTGAAATCAAACTTCCGACCTGGAACTGATTGACTGGAACCTTTGCCTGGTTGCTTACCTTGCATTGCTCTCGAGTACTCATCGTCGCGGAGAAGTAATGTTTTGAAGCACCATTTAAATGCAAAGGTTGCATTCCATTCCTGCATCAGAGGACAAATACTACACGAGAAGATGCCAAACCTGCATAAGGAAATACCACTTCTGCAAAGGGAGCAAGTAAGACAAGTGAAAATGATACATCAAAGCATGTGGAGACAAGCACAACAAATATATGTGCTGATTCATTCGCTGCTTCTTCAAAAGCAAAGGTATCTTATATCATGCTTTCTCCATGTCCTTTCCTTTGTCCTTGTTATTACTCGCATGGCAAAGTGAAAAGAGCAATCAGACGGCACTTGGAGTCAGTTTTCCGATCTACCCTCTTCAATACGAATTGGGGAAAGATTGAACAAAGAAACAGGTCATCACTTCCACCTCCTGCTTGCCTGCCATGTGTCTGAATCCTGCTACCCAATTCAAGAATAGCACAAAGGAAAATCAACGGTAGGGGGAGACCAAAAGAATCCTCCAGCCCAGTTCAAGATCAAGCCTCGATGGCCCTTGAAGAAATCACAAGTCCGATTCAAAATCAAGTGTTCACCACCCTTGAATCAAATTCAACTCCAGATAAAAGGAGTAAGTTCAGACCTTCGGAGGAGACCAAAAGAATCCTCCAGCCCAGTTCAAGATTAAGCCTGTGGAAAATCAACGATTGGAGAAAACCAGAAAATCTTCCAGTCAAGCTCAAGATCAAGCCTCGATGGTCCTTGAAGAAATTTCCAGCCCAATTCAAGATCAAGCCTCGACGGCCCTTGGGTTGACATCTACATTAAAGAACTTCAAAACGCATCTTCTACACGTGACAAGCACATGCCTACGACGCGTCTTGAAGTGGGGGCATTTGTAGACATCAAAATTTCGGTGAAATAAATGTTGACCAATAATTAAAATTTCAACGTTCACGTGTCACATAAATTTTACATGTAGCGTGTGATTCAACGAAAAATCGAAATAAATTGGAAAAGTCATCAAGTGTGACACGTGTCAATACCTGGCAGAAATGATTTATTTCATCTGATTATTTAAATCCAAAAATCAAGTTTTGGAATTCTATAAATAGGAGGCCAAGGCATTCATTTTGAAGGAGGAAGAAGAGAAAGAAGGAAGGGGAAGAAAAGAAGGAGAAGGAGAAAGGAAAAGAAGAAAAGAAGGAAGGAAGAAAGAAAGAAGCCTTGAAACTCTAAAGCTCTCAAGCAAATCCCGAAGGATCAAGAAAGCAATCTTCGTTCTTCGTCAAATCCACCTTCAAGATCAAGCCCCGACGGCCCTTGAAGAACTTCCACCAACTCAAGATCAAGCCCCGACGGCCCTTGAGGAAAGTGTTCATCATCCACACATCCGTTCATCCTTCAAGATTAAGCCCAGAAGCCCTTGAAGATCCGTTCATCCTAAGATCAAGCCCCAACGGCCCCTTTGGATCAACAAATCCACACATCCGTTCATCGTTCATCATCCATCAACCTTCAAGATCAAGCCCCAACGGCCCTTGAAGATTCATTCATCATCCGTTCATCCTTCAAGATCAAGCCCCAACGGCCCTTGAAGAACTTCCACCAACTCAAGATCAAGCCCCGACGGCCCTTGAGGAAAGTGTTCATCATCCACACATCCGTTCATCCTTCAAGATTAAGCCCAGAAGCCCTTGAAGATCCGTTCATCCTAAGATCAAGCCCCAACGGCCCCTTTGGATCAACAAATCCACACATCCGTTCATCGTTCATCATCCATCAACCTTCAAGATCAAGCCCCAACGGCCCTTGAAGATTCATTCATCATCCGTTCATCCTTCAAGATCAAGCCCCAACGCCCTTGAAGAACTTCCACCAACTCAAGATCAAGCCCCGACGGCCCTTGAAGAAAGTGTTCATCGTTCATCATCCGTTCATCCTAAGATCAAGCCCCAACGGCCCTTTGGATCAACAACCTCAACAAATCCACACATCCAATCGTTCTTCAAGATTAAGCCCAAAAGCCCTTGAAGATCCGCTCATCCATCAACCTTCAAGATCAAGCCTCAACGGCCCTTGAAGAACTCCCACTAACTCAAGATCAAGCCCCGACGGCCCCTTGAAGAAAGTGTTCATCATTCATCATCCGTTCATCCTAAGATTAAGCCCCAACGGCCCTTTGGATCAACAACCTCAACAAACTCATACACCCATTCTTCAAGATCAAGCCCAACGCCCCTTGAAGATCCATTCATCAACTGTGCATCCTTAGATCAAGCCCCGACGGCCCTTTGGATCAACAACTCATCCACAAACCCACATCGTACGAAGATAGAATCAGAGGATCAAATTACAAAGAGATTGTAACCCCAAAATCATTAATACAAAATATATATTTTGTACGCGTATTCTTGTCGCTTGTGTTTCAGGAATTTCTCGTGTTTACACCGACTTAACTACAGTTTGCTTACCGGCATTCTTTGTCAATCTTAAGGCATGATTCGTGCATATCAGTACTTAGGCGATCCATCAAACTCTCCTTAGTCACACGATAATTACCATCTCCTACAAGCACGGCTCCATTAACCGTGTTAAACGCCAGCACATGCATTGCTTGTTTTTGTGTGTTTGCGTGTGCATGTTACTGAACATAAATGGAAAGAAGCTGAAAAGAATTATTAAATTACCTGACTTATTCTTAACATCAATGAACCCTTCCTTCTTGATTACTTCCATAAAGTCTTTTCCATAGTGTTCTTCAATGCCTCTCTTCAGATCATAACGTCCAGAAACGTTGACAACCGTACATATGTCATGATATATAGAAGCATACAGAAGCACAGCATCGCCTCCTGTAGTAACAATATTCAGCAATACCTTTGGTACACAATACGAAATTACTCATTCGAAATATTCATCAATAGCAATGTGTCTTTGATCGTGCAACACAATCCAACGTACCTCTACTGTGTCCAATAATTGCACTGGGTGCACGTTTTACCCCAGAGAAGTATTCGACAACAGAGTGCAAGTCATCAGCCTCTCTCCGAAAGCTAGCATGCTGAATGGTGCCTTCACTTTCCCTGACAACCAAAAAACCAAAACTAATCAGGATCAATAAAATCGTTAGATCTCAAACTGACAACAACGCAAACTTTGCAAGAACAGTACGATGAAGACAGAGCCACGCTTACAACTATGAAACTAACAAGGCCCACACAACGAAACTCTACACAAAACCTGTTATATTCAAGGATTTCAAACCCTGTAATTCGCCAGACTTACCCATTTCCGGCAAAGTCAAAACGGAAGGAACTGATCCCTTCATTTTCCAGTGCAACAGCAAGGTTCACCATGATAGAGTTTTCCTGGAAATCAAGAGACAGAAACCGTGAAATTTTTGCTCACAATGATCCCAAGTTGCCAACCAAGCATTACAATTTTCCACGAACGATGACCTATGCTGTACTGTTCCTTTTTTTGAGTATGGTGACACCGTTAGTGGGTTAGACAGTTAGTTGTTAGGGAGGAGGGAACCGGTGGGGATTGAACCTACACCAGAGTGTATTATCATCAATTATTAAAACATTATCGTCTTCAAAATACAAACTAAATTATCCAACAACCAAAGTTCGACGATAGATGTGAATGAAATATTAGAAAAATAATTTAAATTATAAACATTCCTAATCCAGCTGGAACCGAATCCAACAACAACAATAATAACAACATTTGACATATCAAAAATCCAACCTTGGTGGCTCGAAAACCGTGACATAAGATTACAAGGTCCGCGGAACTGGTTTCGTGTAACAATCCCACAAGCTTTTCTCCGTGTTTGTTGGGTACGATGATTTTCTGTTGCTGACCCACTGACATCGCAATTCGAAAAGAAAAAAAAAAGACAAAAGTCCATTAAACTTTTGGTAAAGTCGGCAACTTGATGGCAATAAGAACATGAAAATTCACAAACAAATATATACAACGTGAGACGATAAAATTTCTGACCTGGGTTTTTTGCAGCTTCTGCCATTTTCAAGATTCGTTTGGAGCTGCGATTGCAGGAAAGATTATTTTGTGATGGGAAGCTTTATGGAAGTGAAAGAACTTGAGAGCAGCATATTAATTCAGATTATAAGCTAGTTAACGATTAATTAATCCTCAAGGCAGTGGAAGTTTACCTAGAAACTTTTGCTTGCTGCTCTTGTTGCTCTGAATTGCAATCTACACAGCTCCTGTGAATTTGGAACTGGGAGAGTATCGGACCAATCCAGTCGGATCAGTTCCCAACCAAATAATTTTTTGGGTTTAGGTTTTGGTCCACAACAGTCTCTTTCTTACCGGTTGAACCCTGATTATTTATGGGATTATCAAAACTGCCATTTATCTATCTTTACATTTGGGCAATGATAAACATATGTGGTTATTCCAGCAATATGTACATCACTTTTAGCTTCTCACCTAACAGTGTTTAATTATGCCTGTTGTTTTCTAACTTAGTATTTTTTGGTAATTCAAGCAATATACTAATATAACATACTTTTCGTCAATAGTATAACATCAACATCAATCAAGAATTTCACTCAACCATTGGGTTGAAAAGATGGTCGGTAGTATTCCTATTTACTCGTAATTAGAAGGTCTAATACTATCGGCTCACATGGATAACGAGTAAAATACCTAATTATAGTTGACCCAATTTACGATTTAGCTAAAAAGCCATTATTAAAATATAAATGAAAAACCTATAAAAAGACATGATTATAACTTGAATGAACAAGAGAAGACACATCACACATAGATGGCTAGGTTGGTACCAACCTTGGCTTAATTGCCGTTATGCGACAATAAAATCTCATTGTTCCCCTAATGTCTCACTTAACCCCCTTTACTTTTCCTCCATGTCTCACATTATCCATTTTGTCAACTCTCTCATCAAAACCCTAATGCATCAAATTTGAGTTGAATAGAACCTTGGTTTCACGAGGCAATGGAATATATACATCATCAACTTCACTAATTCATCAGCATGAACTTGGACTTGATATAGGCAAGGTATGAACTGTTCTTAGAGGCTCTATGGATCCATGATGCACCCCACAAAAGCTCATCCTAATTAATAGCACAATTGGGGTCATAAGAGGAACTTTAATGGGATTAAAATAATGATAATATTTACAGATAGAACTAATTACAAGCTTTAAATAAAAAATAAAAGTGAGGAACTACATAAATTATGGTATGTTTGGTGTCCCTCCAGCTCTGATTTTTTATTAAAAGTTAATGACGTGTTCCATTTGTGCATTTTTTTTTGTAAAAGAAAACAATTAGAAGCAAATTATGCATACGCATTTGGGTTACGTGTATCCTGAGTATGAGCAGCAAAAAGGGCAGACCGTTGAACTAATTAAGTCACTGTAAGAACCTCTGTACTTGTCTACAAAATCAAACATCTGCATGGCGATCAAAATTTAAAATTAGCATTCTTGTTAACACGCGGTGAAGGCGAAGAGATTGCTAAAATGAAGTAAAATTTTGTTTATAGATGTTTACTTTCATTGCTGTGTGAAGCAACTTTGCAGAGTAAGAAGAGTAAGAGTCTTTGAACACTACGGAAGCTACAGCCAATGCAGCAGCAGTCACAGATGCAACATTTGATCCCGGATTTTGGGTTGACACCTTGTACACATTGCGCAGCCTGCAATCACCAAAACATGTGACTGTTTAGGACTTCTCTTCAACTCCAAACCAACGTCGTTAATAAAAAGTCAATTCTTATAGCCTTCAGTACCATGGTTTAGTGCTATATTTTATTATCTATTTAGTATCCCAGTTCTTTTTTTTTATTAAAAGTTTAAGCGGTTTTATTTGTGCATATTTGCTTATTTCTTTGGATCATCATGTGTTGGGCATGGGGAAGATATAGAGGAGGACAAGAGAGAATAACGAATGGTTTTTCTTCCTATGTTCCATTTGAGTCTATCTGGATATCAGCATTCATTTGCAGGAATATATGTGTTCTCCATACCGTAAATGTCTAGTAGAAAGCCCTAAGAGAAAGAAAAGGGGTGAAAAGGAGGAGGAGGTGGAAGGTTTGTATAAGAGAGTAATATACGTAAAATAAATGCAAAAATTAGACAGAAATTAGACTTCTGGTGTGTACTTTTATGTAGCCAATGGTAAAAATTTTAGTGTATCTACAATGTATCTCTTTATCTATTTTTCTCATCATGTGGTGAGACGTACGTCGCGTTATAAAAAAGATAAAGAGATGAAAATACGTGAATGATCTACATTCCAGAAATTCTACGTAACTAAGTTTTTTTGTCGTCTTTTTTTTTTTTTTTTTTTCTACTTGCTTTGCTCGTGGCAAAAGGAAAAAAAATACTGTAATGTAAAAAAAAAAAGTTTAAGTGGAGTAATTAAAGAAGTAAAAGGAGTGGGGGCCACGTGCGCTTAATTGCAGAGGAATCACTCTCTCCTCTCGCAGCCGGCATGAAGAAAAGGTCCATTTCACCACTAGCTCTTGTTGTCAGAATTCCTCTCTCCCTCACTCGGTCTCTCTCTCTCTCTCTCCCTCCCTCCCTCCCTCTCACTCCTCTCGCGTTTTCTTCTCTCGCCCCCGCTGTCATTGTGCACACACGGTGTATAGCTTTCCCGGCAGCATTGTGCACACCGGCTCAGACCGGCTCTGTCTCTGCGATCGACTGGACGGACCGGTTAGATCGGAGGAGGCACTGGGTTGGAGCGGATGGACCGGTTGGACCGGGGTCGGACCGGATGAACCAGGTCGGGCCGGCTGGACCAGATCGGACCGGGTCGAAGCGGCTTGAACGAGGTCGGACTATCGCTCGGCCGGCGGAGACGAGCCAACGTTGACGGAATGGGCTTCGGACCCGATGGTCTGATAAGTCCCATGATGTTTGGGAGCCATGGCTTTAGGGGACTTGTTAAATGATCCGAAAGAGCAGAAGCTAAAACTTGGGATGGGATGCAATGCAATAAACTCAACTCTGAATTTAACTTTTTACCAAACTCGAAATGGATACGAAAGAAAATGAAGGACAAGATTAAAACCCTTGTTTTTAAATTCCTTAATTTAAAAAGAATTCTGGATCAGGAAATCAATGGTTCACAAAATGGATCTCCGAAATTCTCACTCGTTTAAGTAGTCAGTAGGTTCAGACTTGTTTAACCTTGAAGAACAGCTTTCTTCGGGGTCCGTTGGTTGTCAATAATCCGAGCTACTGCCCTCAAAACCGGCATCTTCACATTATACTTGTGCACTAGTGCAATCACAGGCACAGCTCCTGCTGTTGATACACCTTCAACCACCTAGTAAACCGCATAACGTTACCACGTGATTCATGGAACTTTGTAGACCGGTGATTGTTGCCGGCTTCGCGCCCATCTTCACGAGATAAATTGGAGGGAAAGGCAGTGAGACAACAGTGGCTAAACTACAGCCCTGGGATCTGCCACAACCTTGAAGTGCTGATTCTCAGATAGTCACAAGCCAGAAGCTGCTGAGTTGCATTTGCCAATTCTCTTGTCTTTCGACGCTACAACCATTGCTACAAAATCAAAAAAGTAGCAAAACATGATTAGTACCTTTAAAACATGATTAAGTGGAATGTTGATTCAACAATGTTGTTTCTTTTTTCCACATACCTGTTGGTAATTTATTCATCAGCTCCAGAGCAAAAGAAGGCCCTGATAGTGCAATGAAAGGTTCCCGATGATTCTTCAAGGCTTGAGGAGTGATCTGAGACACGGTCCTCAGCGTATTGACCTCTAAACTCTTGCTAACTGAAATGAAAGGCAAGCCTGGATTAACATGTTCTGGAATCCTTCAAGAAACGACAAGATGAAAAACCTGCACAGGGACTGCATGAAAGCAATAATCGGCATCCAGCAAAGCAGCTTCGGCATCAGTTGTTGCAATTATATTTTCTGGCAGCGCAAATGTTGGTCCATGGTGTCCCAAGAAGGTAAGAACTCCAACCTGTCCGACGCTTCTTCGGCCAAATACGATATACAAGTGGGACCTGCACTACGAGCAAGCTGTGCGAAAAACCCCTTCTTTTCCAGCTTCGAACCAACTTGGGCGAAATGGGGTTCTACGGGCAAACCATGGATTTTTTAGTTCTCGCTATTGGTTACTGGTCGAGCCAGTGGAATGGAATGAGACAGCAGCAAATGACATGATTGACCACAAATTGCTGAAATAATCGCGGCTGAGAATTGTTTGCCATGGCATCTGTGCTACCGATGGTTATAATATGCATTCACATCCTCGGTGAGTTGCATACATAAGAGAAATGGCCGGGAACAGTGTCGTTGTAGAGCCCGTCGAAGAAGCGGGCGTGGTCCTCTTTGTTCAATAGTGTCGTTATCCAAGATCACGGCGTAAGAGGTAATGTGACAAATCTGGATGTTTGGATCATTGTTAGTAGGCGATGAGCTTCTGAAAAGAGACTCTGCATTGGATTCAATGTCTATTGGTTTTTCTACTTAAATGGACTGAGTCCTTAGTTCTCTGCAAAATAAAATGGACATTCTTGCTATCCTAGCATATATGCCACGCATTTTGTTAAGCAATACGGACAATAACAGTGAGCACATCCGGGTTGAAGCTTTAAGTCGTTTAAAGCGTCAACCCAATCATTTAGCCAAGCAAAACCCTAAACTGATAGTGGATACTCTATTTATTGGACAGTTTATAGGAACATGTTCTTTTTATTTTGTTATTCATGTCGTCCATCAATTCTTCATACCTGGTGTTAGAGTTTGTATCATCCTCATAAAGATTTTTCAATATGCCGGAATATGATGCGTAACACCATATGTTATTATATAATTGGAGGATCACTTGAAAAAGGATTTGGATCCCATCCAGATCCAAATTGTAGAGATCCTAGGGATCCTCACATCTTAATCATTCATAGTATATCGTGCGGCCAAAAGTTATTTAAATTTTATTATTTAAAATTAAACACAAATAGTACCTAATGAAAACTGATCCCACAATATACAATAAACGATTAGAATGTAAGGATTCCTAGGATCCCTACATAGAGAATCCGAAGAGGATCATCATCCTTTGAAAAAGTTTTCCTCTACTTGTAGAATGATTAATGTTGTGTCTCATGTTCTAGACACACTTTTAAAATCTCTCATCCTCCGTCCCGACCATTTGACCTCCATTTAAAAATAATAAAATAAAATAAAGAACAAACAAATGTGAAAGGGCATGAATAAATAAAAACGTGTTCAAAATAAGAAAGAAGTGAACTAATAAAAAAAATTATTTGTCACCGTATGGCCAGAAAACCCGACAAATAAAATAATACAATCAGTGACGTTAAGCTTTGGCTCATGCATGTTTCATTTAATTAAGGGAGTTTTAACGAAAAGTTCATGATACTGTTTATTTTAATAAAAAATCATATTTTTATACTAAAAAGTCAATCTTAATACTATTCACTTTACCCTTTATTTTGTCCTTATCGTTAAAACTCAAAATTTTCAAACTATTTTCATTAATTTTTTTTTAAATTAATCCATAAGACTTTGACGGCTGGTTCTTTCATTTTTGTAGCGGAACCAAAACTTCATGTTCGCAGAACCAATGTAAGATATACAAAACTTATAATCTTTACTACTTACAAGAGTACTAAGTGTAGAAGAAATGAAAAATATAGAGGGCGATTATCTTATTTTTCTTTTGCATCAATAAGATACCACATATGATGGTAAAATGTATAAGGGGATATAGCACCATCCTTTTCACAATTTTTAATATAAGTTTTTGTGAAACTCACTCTATAATAATTTTTACGATCTGAACTGTCTATCTTTTAAATCTTCTTTCAAAGATCATGTCTACCTAAAACCATGACCGTTGGATTAAGGGTTCTTTGTAGAAACATATTCATCCACTTTCTTCGCTACAAATGAATGTCGTGGTTTTGAATTTATCTAATTTTTTGCAATAATGATCTATAAATGATATTTTATAAGATAACTAGTTCAGATTCTTAGAATACGTTACAAAACAAACCTCACAAAAACTTGTGCCTAAATTTACGTAAAAAAAAAGTAGTGTCACAATCTGTCCCCAATATATAATTACCGTACTTAATGGTAGTGAAGGACATAAGCTTAACTAAGGCTACCCATCCTCACATTTTTGCTTATACATTTTGTATATGAATTACAAGAAATAAAAACAAGTGGAAAAGTTGAGTGTCCATAGATGAGTCTCCATTGTGGTCTATTAACTGGTGGCTACGATTCTCTTAACAATCGCCATCGAGCATTTCTCACCAAAGGACGTATGCTCCAGTCAATTGTGAGAGAAGAACGTGTTGGGGAAGACAAAGACCGTTCACACCACATGGTGATTCATTAACCAAGTTCATTAGTATATCAAATAAAAAAACCAAGACATCGGAAAATTTGTCTTTTCCCGAAACCCTAAACATTAATTAACGTGATTCATTTGTCTATTTACTTGAAGAGAAGATTCACGTCGGATTCTTCTTGTAAGAATCCCAGAAATTCTTCAATCACATTCATTTATTGTACATCGTGTGATCAGTTTTCATCAGATATTGTTTATATTTAATTTTAAATAAAAAAATTTACAATGATTTCTGACCACGCAATATACGATAAACAGATGTGATTTGAAGACCCTCAGAATCTTCACAAAGAGGATCCGACGAGGATCCCCACTCATTTACTTGGATAAAGTAAGATAATAAAGTGCTTTTTAATTTGGCAAATGGTGTTTTACTGTAGTAGTGGAAAGCCCTATGTACTTTGATGTGGGTGTGATTTCCATGGATTATCCTCATCCTAACAACTAACTATTTAACCAATTAACTTTATCGCTCTAATAAAACAATACGGTTATTAATTTGAGTAAAAATTTGTAAATGTAATCTTTTAATAGAAAGGGTTTAGGCGTACCAGTAAAAATACAATGTGGACCTGAAACGAAATGTCATTTTAACCATGCTTACGCACTAAACTATATATATAAACATGGTGTGAAACTAAATTAATGTAGTCAACTCAACTGCTCCGTGGACACTCATCTAGAGCACTTTAACAATAGATTTTTTCAATGTACAAGAAAACAGAGTGGTATGCCTTTTTTTTTTTTTTTTAACAAATGATATTATCTATACTAAATGGGAGAGATAGATGATTTTAGCCTTTCAATGAGTTAGCAATTATGGTTCAAATTTACCTTTAACGAAAATCGAATATAAAACCTATTACTTAAAAATGAAGAGGAATATGCCAAATGTTATTATACAAGTGAATAAATTATTATTTTTTCGATTGTCTCTTTACTTATATAATAACATATAACATATGTTATTCCGAGCATACTGAAAAATCTCTTTATCTATAACTTCAACAACATTATAATATCCCGAATCAAAGGGAAGCTTCAGCTGATTCTGTAATTCAACATTAGGTGCGCCAGAAGACATACTCAAACACAAAATATTGCCTCTTAATCTAGAACATTTCCAAGTAAATTAATAGTAAACATTATGTTTGACACAGTTTAGACAAACGTCACAAAACCACAAACCTTGGCATCGATTGATCCCTTTAATTTTAAAAATTGTGACAGAAGAAGGCGTTGGGAAGGAGCGTTCATACCACCACATGGTGAAATTCATAACCAATTTCATTGGTAGATAAAAAAAACATTGAAAAATTATGAAAGGGTAAGATTTTTTTATTTTTTTTTTATTTTTAAACGTGAGAATACAGAAAAATATGGAAAGGGAAAGAAAGGGCACTCTGCCTTCCTCCCTTGACCCTTTTCAATTCCACAGATAATCCTCCCATGAGTCATGGGTAGTCTTTGACCACTACTTTTCTAACCTACCCCTCTCTCTCTCTCTCTCTCTCTCTCTCTCTCTCTACTTGCTTTACTACTTTTCAAGTTCTCATCCTTTCTACTTTTCAAGTCCTCATAAACGAGAAACAACTAATTTCCTCTCTCACCAGCTCTCCTTCCATTTCTTCTGTTTCAGTTTCTTCCATCACTAATATGAATGCGTTTTTTAAATATCTTGCCTATTATGTCTGTATATCACTACTTTTCAAATCTCCCTCATCTGTGCCACCTTCTAGTTAAGAGACTCTTCTGATTCTCTGTACCTCATCAAGTTCTGCATATTATTCACGATGACTAAGGAGTATAAATATTGGGTAGGGCCATCGTATAGTCATGGACAAAAGACATAAAGGTCGGTTGAAGGGTAGCAGGAGATCAAGAGGCTCCCATTTCCAACCTTTGTCTATGGACATTGCTTTCCAACTCGATGAAGGCTCTCGCGCCAATTTCCTTCGACTTGTCATGCAATCTTTTGGCTGCTTCTACATTTGCTTGTGGTCTTATATGCCCCCTCCTTCTAAGTATGGACGCATCATTCATCATTCATCTCTCTCTCTCTCTCTCTCTCACACACACACACACACCCACCTACCCAAACACCCTGAATGTGGATGGAACTCATATCAATAATGTTGATTTTATGTGTTCGTGCAGCCTCCTATTTTTTCTCGATGGTGTTTATGATGAAGAAAATCAACCAAGCTCTTCTTCGGGCAGTTTGGCTCGGCAGCTTTTCAATGAATATCGTCTATCAGTATTCAACGTTGCCGAAAATGAGTACGTAACTATGCGTATTGGTTTGCTTGTATAGTTATCATTGTTTCTATTTCTCTCATAAGTTTTTTGCTGCATGCATGTACATGATCAGCTGTGTTCCAGGATTCGCTTTCAGGAATAGCCTTCCATATTTGGAGTTGCAAGAAATGGACCTACAAAGACTGGCATCAGTTGATACACAGAGGCAATTTTATCAGGTAACTAATTTAAAATATAATTGAACAGAAATATATTACAATTCCCAATTTACACAAAGAACGTTCATTAATTTACGCAGGCAAGATATCGTACGCTAATTGAGTAATTTTAATCTGCTTGTAACAGGAAGCAAGGATTAAGGTTTGTTCATGCTGGATTAAAATAGTGGCTTACAATATTAATTAATTGGTGTTGTTCTCTTAATTATAATTTCCTCTTAAATTACAGACTGCAGTTTTCATGGGGTGCAAAAGCGGAGAAATTGAGCTGGGCTTGTCCAATGTGTCTCAAGTAAGACCAAATTCTAATCTAACTTGGAATTATGTAAAAAAACTTTTGGTTAAATGGCGGGTTTCGAACTCTAAACCTAGCATACAGAACTCATAACACTACCCACCCTCACCAAGCTGACCCAAGTGGCTTGTAATTATATTAAGAATCTTAATGCATAATTGAGGTTTACGATTAACTAATTTATTTTTTGTTGTTTTGTAGATAAACATAAAAAGAGAATTGATGAGAACCTGGTTACCAGAAGCTTTTTCCAGACAAGTATCTCCACATACAGAAGTTGCCAGCAGGCCAATCAATGTTCAGCAAAACCCACCGTCATCCTCTTCGTCTTCTTTGAGATCACTTTCCGCATTGGATAGTCCTGAATATTCCTCCCTCCTCTTCAACATTCCAACCACTACTATTTCTCATAACATCCCAGAGATCTTTACACAATTATCTTCCGATCCCTTGCAACCAATCAATATTAATCCATTGGAACCTTTACCAATCATAAATCTCATTACTACTACTTCTACTAGTACTAGTCCTCATCAACAAGCCATCCAAGCCTTTTCTCGAACCCGAAACATCCAATTCCCAACTCCGGAGATCGAAGATGCCGCAATGACAAGAGCTATCCTTGCAGTTCTATCTTCTTCACCTTCTTCTTCGTATCAACCACCCCAACATACTAATCCACCTTCTTCTTCTACTACTCATCGTCACTTACTAACTCCAAAATCCACTGCTTTCAAGACTTACAGCACCTCAGCTTTAGCCCCAAGAACGCAAATGAGTGCTAATTTACGCCGGCAAAACATGCACAAGCGATCCATTTCCTTCTTGAGAAGCTTGAATCTGATGAGGCTTCGCGAAGGTATCCAAACCACCCGTCCCACAAGCGGCCAGTTGCATCATATGATATCGGAGCGCAAAAGGCGTGAGAAGCTCAATGAAAGCTTTCATACATTGAAATCATTACTTCCACCTGGAACCAAGGTAAGCAACATGCATGCATACACACACACACACACACACACACACAAACAATGTGTTGTTCAAAAGGATACTGGACCGTACTCGACTGAACTGGGCTACGGTAAACTATACTAAACTAGATGGAAGTTTTAGGGTATTCCAGTTCAGTACGGTCCAACATAGCGTACATATTAACACATTCGTTGGGAAATGCATTATTATACCATTTTCTCTTTTTTGCATTGATACATATATTGGTTTCGTTGCAAACGTGATTAATTAAAATTTTTGATAGTGTAGAAAGACAAAGCCTCGGTTCTTATATCTGCGAGGGAGTACTTGACTAGTTTAAAAGCTCGAGTTGCTGAGCTTAGTAAAAGAAACCAGCAGTTAGAGGCAAGGCTCTTGCCCCCGGCCAACTTAGGAGCTAATGAAGCAGCAGCTACCGCAGGCTCCTCAAATGAAAGAGTTAGTCTTACACTTACGCATGTATCATCCGAATCATCCCCGGATCAAGATCAGCAAATTATTGACTTGCAAGTGGTTCTAAGATCACTAGAGAGTTGTACCGAAGATATGGTGATCCGCATTTTGGAATTCTTGAAGCGGGTTGAGAATGTAAGCTTGATGTCCATGGAAGCCAATACTTGGATATCAGAACCAAATTCTAACATCAACCGCGTAATCTTGAGATTAAGAGTTGATCAGGTATGTAATAGAATACTTATAAATTTCTTGAACTCATTAATTATTATGATCCCTGTATTGGATGCATGTGTGAATGTGATTGACCTAAGATATATAGAACACATATTTTATAAGCTTTTAAGTAATTGAGGGGTGGGTCGGGTGATAAATAATGAAGGGTTTATATTAAGAATATGAATCCCAAATCTGAAAAATAAGAGATCTTGCATGTGCTTATAAGTAATTGAGTTATTCCTCATATCATCAATTGATTTTAAGATAGAATCACAACCTTCTTTATCGTATCAGAACAAGTTGTCCCACGTGTGAAACTCAATAGCCACACATGCAACCGTGCTCTACGTTATCCCATTTTGTCCATTTTGTGTTGTTCATGTGTTAGGTTTAAAGATTCCTTATACGTGAGGAGTCATATTAAGAGTATGAATCTCATCTCAACTATGAAATCAATGCATGGTATAAACTAAAAAGAGACAATGACTATGAAATCAATGATTGCTATAAATAGTATTATATTGAATATGTATTTGGGAAACTAGAAGGAAACTGAAAGTTGTTTTATTTCTTTATATATACAGGGAACGGAATGGGACGAGGCTGCCTTCCAGGAAGCAGTAAGAAGGGTGGTTGCTGACTTAGCATTGATGTAATCAAATAGCTTTTCGACATGTTCAATATATAGACTTAGTACGTAGGATCGACTAGTCCTCTTTTCGTTTTCTTTGTTTTGGTCGAAATAGTAGGAATAGTCAAGATTTTGATATATGGATTGCTTTCCGACTTTTGGCCATCAATGCTTGCCAATTTTTGACCCTATCACATCGGGCAGGCATTCTCCACCGTTAATTTAGACAATCAAACATATCAATTTGATTCATATTATGATGTCTATTGACCAAAAACTATTCCACATTTTTTCCCATTTGTCCATGTTAATAGCTACTCTTTTTTTAAGTATTTTTTGGATAAGAAATAGCCACTTTCATTATTTGTATATTTTTTATTTAGGTTTTGTGGACTTCATAATTTTTGGATTAAAAACGTAGAATTATTTTTAAGAAATTAAATGAAAACAATTTTTAAGGTTTCTTTCATTAATTTGTTGTATTACACTTTTCTTGGTACAATTGTATTATATTTTATGAATCATCTATAAATATATAAAGATGGACGGGGTTTTTTTGATGCAACAGTTATTTCTCTTTCGTGAGAGGATTGATATCTCACACACGACCGTTGACGAGATACTAATCTCGCATAATCCTTCTTTATAAATTTACATAAAAAAATGGGAGCTAGGGATGAATTGGCTGGGACATCCACCAGTCCCGGTCAGTCAAGCCCACATAGTCTCGTTTTTCATTTTCTTCTTTGTGGGTTCTTTGTTTCTTGTACGAATTTATGGTGCCCAAATTGACTGCAAACGGAAAGAGACCGCAATGCAAGAAGTAGGACCAAAAAATGATTTGGTATGCAGACAAACATTATTCAAAATATTGGCACGTCGAAAATTCACATTTTCAATATTGCTTCAAAACCGCACATATCATTTTCACAGCTGGCAGCTCCATTGATCTGCCACGTCATGTTGAGTGGTTGAGGCTGGCATTGGATCCATGTATCAAACATATTAATCTCTTAGATTAATAATATTTAAAATCTCATTTGTGAGTCAACCTGTAAATGGGTTGGTTTTATTGTCATCCGAACCCAACCCGTTAAGTTAACAGATCATCTATTTCACCCGTTAACAATTATTATTATTTTATCTTTTTTGCATAGAGTTTATTTTTTGTTGTTAAGACTTGATTGAAATTACTAAAACATTATCAACTAACGAGTGCTAACGGGTCTAACAGGTTGACCCAAAGTGACCCGTTAGCGACCCGACCCATTAAGCATCCACCCAAATACTAATATTAACTGGTCGGGTTGGGTCCAAAATGCCAGGTCTATTTGTGAAACTAAACTCACCACTTCCCTTTTAGTGTAGATAATATCATTTGTTCAAAAAAATAAAATCTCATTTGTCCTGAGTCATTTGGCCACGATATCTGCTTCGGAATTCTAGGTTAGTCAATCACTTTTCTGCATGAGACTCAGTAAAAGGTTTCGTGACCGCGGCAATGGCATGCATGCACTTGTCCAGGATCACACTTTTGTGTCTTTATAATTTCTCAAATGTTGAATAAGCTATAGAATTAGCCTTTTGAACTTTCACTATGGCAGATTTCGTTTATGAATTTAAAATTCGTTAATTTTAATTTTAAAATTTAACAAAACGTAGAGAAATGATCCTTCCATTCTAACCGGTTAGTAAAAGGTTTCGAGATGGCGTCAATGCACTTGTCCAGGATCAAAGTTCGTTTTTGTGTTTTATTTAATTTCACGAATGTTGAATAAGCTGAATTAGTCTTTGAACCCTTTTCTTTTTTTTGTCAAAGATTTAGTCTTTTGAACTTTTATTATAATATATTTCGTCTACGTACTAAAAAGTCGTTAATTTTAATTTTTTAAATTTGACAAAATGTAAAGAAATGCTCCTTCCAGTCTAACCCCGTTTGATTGGAATATCTGTTATTGTACTTATGCGGTAGCATGATTTAGAATAATAATAATAATAATAATAATAATAATAAATGAATTTGATTAAAGAACCTAGTAATTGACGCTGGATATATCTTTTTGGGTAAATTATATTTTACCTTTTCAGATATGAGATCGATTACAACATCTTTAAAACATTTCGATTTCATACATTTACTTATTATTTTATTTCAATTTCATACATCTGTTAGAAAATTCGTTAAGTGATGACATAACAAATATGAGATTCACATTTGTGCTGAATATTAAATACTAAAATAATTATTAAAAATAAAAAATAAAAAAACCCTAAAATCCATGTCTTCCCCTTCCCCATTCCCAGCCGCATTCTCCCTCTCCCCCTGCAAACCCCATTTCCTTATCCGTCGTTGCCATTGACGCCGGCTTCGACCCCTGCAACCTGGACCTGGGTTTGGGAAAATTTAGGATTTGGACAAATCCAACCCCCAAATTTTGTCGAATCCAACCCAACCCCTAAATTCGATCCACATCTCAAATTGTCAGTCCACTTGCGCTCTCTGCCTGAACCACTGCCACCAAATTCGTCAGCCGGAGTTTGGGTCTTCACCACTTTCTGCTCTCTGCCTGAAGGCCCTGAACCACCGCGACTCGCAACAGATTGTCGCGCGAGGAGGAAGATGATGTTGCCGTCCGATTTGCAGCGCCAGTCGACGTGGGTGGGGTTGGAGGCAATGTTGATGTTGCTGGCGGGCTTGCATTGGTGGACGTGTTGTGGACGAAGATGTTGACGACGTACTGGAGGGGATGGAAGATCTAGGGTTGGGGCTTTGCATTTGCAACGTGGGGTGGAGAGCCGCTCTGGAAGGTTGTTTTTTTTTTAAAGGTTTTTTTTTTTTTTTGTAATTTTTTAAATAAAATATTAATTGTTTGTCCATGTGGCAGAAGTTGTCAGCCACATAAGCAAAAATGGGAGACTCATTTTTACCATGTCATCAGCTAATTTAACAGGATTTTTAACAATTGTATGAAATTGAAATTAAATGATAACTAAATGTATAGGATCGAAATATTTTAAAAATATTGTATGAAATTACAATTGTACCCAAATCTGTGAAAGGAAAATGTAATTTACCCTATCCTTTTTGGACATTAAGCACGCTCTTGATCGAGAAATTAAACGGTGTCACTAGACGGATTTGCTCAGTGGTAATACCACCACTCAAATCGCTGCACACGCAGTACCATATCAAGCATCAAAACATTGAATACGGCGCAGTACGACTTCAAGCACTCATGGCTCATCAGTCTTGAAAACCATGTAACATCTTTAACGTAATTTATTCTCTTTATCTATATTGTTTTTTATTAAATAATTAGTATCTCTTTAAACTAAATTTATTACTTAAATTATCCTCTTAAACTCACTTTAAAACATAAATTTATCTTTACTCTCGTTCTCTTTATAAAATAATATATCTAATTGAATGATTTTTTTCAAAAAGCCGCCCTTTGCCCCTCTATAATTGCATAAGCTAGTGCCGTAGAGGACTAGCATTTTCACGGCTTGCTTTTTTATTCTTTCTGCTACTAGCATTTCCATGGCTATCCCACTTTCCCCACTTATTGCCGACAACTTCTTTTTGATAAGAAGAGAGCTAATGGAGTTTTGGTCATACAACAAAACACTAAAGACAAAACCAAAATGACCTTGCAATTAAAAGAAACAAACTATCAACTTTTCTAACAGTAAGAAGTTGTAACTTGCTTGTCTTGATTCGAAGAATTACAGGAAGATATTAACAACTTTTTCAGTGTGAGTTCTAAACTTAAAACATAATATAAAATAAACTAAAGAAATGGAAATTCCAACATATCTATCAAAACATTTTTAGTCATCTTCAAGAATCACATCTCAATAGAAAAGCTTGTTTCTCTCTATAGTTATTAGGGTTTTAGCAAGAATGAATGTGGGATAAACGAAGAGTGATGCTAGGATTTAATTATAGTGTGTGGGTTTATTGATAAATTTGAGTTTTATTATTAATTTCATTTTGTACTTAATAGTAATTATGCAATAGTGTAAAATAAACAATTAACATTTAAAATTTAAGTGAGGTGTAGAAAAAAGTTACACGGGTTTAAATAAAATTTCCCATTTGGAAACAGTTGAGATGGACAAGTTGAGTTAATAACTGCTTCCAAAGTTTATCATCCCATCTCAGATCATCGCGAATCATACTATCAGTGCATATCAAAATCTGAACCCTATGCGATGGTACAAGATGGACAACAAAACGTTTGGTGTTCTCCATTTCCTTGCTAACAAAATTTAGTAACAATAAAAGAAATTTATGACATATATCAAGTAGCCAGTAGCTAGTAGCGATTAGGGAGAGTAATGTAAAGTTTTATTGGATCGAAATTTTATCCGTTGTCTCGGGTGGTTAAAACCCAAAAACTTCGTCTCGGCCTTGAGACAAAAAAAAACAACGCAACAAGGAACTCTTCACGATTCAAAAAGGCCACAGATTGAGGTGAAGTAGTGTCATTTTCCTCAGGCCCCAGATCGAAGATAGCAAGGTCGCAAGAGAAAATGTAGGGATTGTTCGAAGCCTTTGATCATGGAGTTGAGGAAGAGGATATTTGGGTTCTTACACGATACATAACACTCGTTTTGGTTAATATACCTGACAATGCCCTCCACAACGAAAATAAATTGCATCTAAATCTGAGAAAGTAAAATGTAATTAACCCTATCTTTTTGTAGACACTAAGCACGCTCTTGATCGAGAAATTAAACGGTGTCACTAGCTGGATTTGCTCAGTGGTAATACCACCACTCAAATCGCTGCACACGCAGTACCATATCAAGCATCAAAACATTGAATACGGCGCAGTACGACTTCAAGCACTCATGACTCATCTGTCTTGATAATCATGTAACATCTTTCTACACGTAATTTATTCTCTTCACTTATATTGTTTTTTATTAAAGAATTAATATCTCTTTAAATCCAAATTTGTTATCTAAATTACCCTCTCAAACTCATTTCAAAACATAAATTTATCTTTACTCTCATTCCTTTATAAAATAATATATCTAATTGAATGATTTTTTTCTAAAAATGTACTATTTGCCCCTCTGTAATTACATATACCGTATAGGACTAGCATTTTCACTGGCTGCTTTTTTTTTTCTTTCTGCTACTAGCATTTCCATGGCCATCCCACTTTCCCCACTTATTGCCGACAACTTCTCTTTGATAAGAAGAGAGCTAATGAGTTTTGGTCATACAGCAAAACACTAAAGACAAAACCAAAAGACCTTGCAATTAAAAGAAACAAACTATCAAC